GCCTTGAGCTCACTTTGTAGCCCAAGCTGGTCTTGAACTCACAATGACCCTCCTGCCTCAGCCTTCCGAGTGCTGGGATTACAGGTGTGTGCCACTACGCCCAGCTGAGTATTTTTATTTTTGGTGTTAGAGATCAAACCCGGGGCCTCATGCATACTATCAGGTGCTCTACCACTGTTCTACCGTAGCCCTTTGGATACTTATTTATTTTTTATTTTTTTATTTTTTTTTGTTTTTGTTTTTGGTTTTTCTCCGGTACCGGGAACCGAACTCACGACCTTGCGCTTGCCAGGCAGACGCTTTGCCGCTGAGCTAAATCCCCAGCCCCCTGGATACTTATTTTTAGAAATATAGATTCCTGGTCCCCATCCGGAATCTCAAAGGTAAAAGCCTGAGAATTTATATTTTTAGTGAGCATTCCTTGTGATTCTCATTTAGAATAATTGGCATAGGCATTTTTTTTTTCATTGTCAAACTTATGATACAATATTTTGTGAAAGAAATTTTAATTTTTAAGTCTTGAACAGATAAATGTCCTTTTGCTATTCTGTGAGCATAGAGAATCATCCCATTACTGAATGATGGAAAGATGCCTACATCTCTAGGTCGGTAGGAGTTGCACATGTGCTCTGAGCAACAGCCCTTCATGTTTGGCCTCAGCAGGTGGCCCAGTGGTTATGTTTCTCCTTTAGGAACAGGAGCTTTGAGCTGAATGTCAAGAGTGCACACTTGTAATTCCAGCACTGTAGAAAACAGGCAGGAGGATTACAATTCAAGCCTAGTTTAGGCAACTTAGTGATTAAGCAAGACCTTGTTTCAGAAATAAGAAATGAAAAAACAGCTGGGTTGTAAGTTAATGCAAAGGTCCTAAGGTCAATTCTCAGTACAGTATAATAATAATTTTTTTTTTTTTTTTTTAGTCCTGGGAATCACACTCACGACCTTGCACTTGCCAGGCAGGCACCGTGCCACTGAGTTATATCCTTAGCCCCAACAAAATCAATTTTGATGTTGTGTAATGTGTCACAATTTTATATGCTAATAGCTGCTTTACCATAAGTGAAACAATTTAAAAAACTGAAACTAGTATAAGCCATATAGCATATGGAAATCAAGCTTTTTTTTTTGTTTTGAGACAAGGTGGCCCTATGTTCAGGCTGGCCTTGAACTCACTCTGTAGCCCCTGTTGGCTTAAAAGTCACATAGATCTTCCTACCTCAGCTTGCTGAGTGCTGGGATGGCAGGCGTGTGCCACCACGCCTGTCTTAACTCAAGCTTTTAAAACCTATTTTTAAACTTAATTTTAAAAAATAATAAAATAGAACCTGGTTGGTTTTTTGTTGTTGTTGTTGTTTTTCCAGTACCGGGAATCAAACTCATGACCTTGCACTTGCCAGGCAGGCGCTGTGCCGCTGAGATAAATCCCCAGCCCCATTAGAACCTGTTTTTAAAAGGGGCTAATTTGTCATTCTTCATGTCCTAAAAGAGGTCATGCCACAAGCTCCAGCCCATAGAGGCAAAGACATGGACCCTGTTTGGCATATTATGCTTGCAACTCGGTTGCAACCAGAATCATGGACCAAATTCAGTGACCAGAATCGTGGAAAGAGTTAAATTCATGAGCCGAGGTACAGCTTAGAGTTGCCCTCCTCTTGAAAAGTCCCTGATTTTAGAGTTGAGGCTGTCTAGATAAAGCTTATGCAGAGCTCTCAGGATCTCCCAGCTAACAGGTACAGTAGGTATCAGTTGGATAGAATTTGTTCCTTAGCCTCAAGTAGAGGAATATGGTTCCAGAAAGTGGGGACCCCTGCTGTAACTGAGCAGGAGGAGAAGGCGGCTCATGAGCCCCTTCTAGGGAGTGTCACCTCCCCTTCCCATGACCAGGGGCCAGGGGAGGGGGTCAGTGCTGGCTCGAGCTATATAGAGCTGGGCCCAGTAACATTATCTGTCTCTGAGCCTTTCTCCACCTACTCTGCCTGACCCAGGAAAAGAAGAAGACCTCACGGTTGACACCTCAGCGGGGCTTTAGTGAAAATGATGATGATGACGATGACGATGATTCCTCTGAAACTGATTCTGAGGACGATGATGATGATGAAGAGCACGGAGCCCCTCTGGAAGGGTAAGCGGAGACCCTTGCTGAGTACACGCAAGCCAAGGCAGCGGACTGTGCCTACTTACTGGACTGGAAGAATATCAGTTAGAAGTGAAATTGTAGTACCTTTTTGATCTCCTCCATTAAGATTTCCACACATCTCAGAAACTTAACATAGCCGGGCTTGGTGTCGAACACCTGTAATCCCAGCAGTTAGGAGGCTGAGAAAGCAGGATCACCATGACTTTAAACCCAGCCTGGATTACATAAATGAGTTCAAGGCCAATCTAGACTACATAGTGAGACCCGGTCTCAAAAAATAAAAACAAAACCAAAAAAACTCAACAATCAGTGTTTATTCTCTTCTGGGTCCACTGCCTCATCCAGTCCTATAATGTCACTTAAAATGTAAAACCAGGTATAGTACCACACATTTGTAATCCCTGTACTCTGGGAGGCTGAGGCAGGAGGATTGTAAGTTTGAGCCCTGGGCAATTTAGTGAGACCCTGTCCAAAAATAAAGATAGAAAAAAGGCTGGGGGGCTGGGGATTTAGCTCAGTGGCAAAAGCGCCTGCCTGGCAAACGCAAGGTCGTGAGTTCGGTTCCCGGTACCGGAGAAAAACAAAA